CAGAACAAGAAGGATGCTGTTAAGGGCTGCTAAGCATCTCGTGATTGAACAGGGCTTTGTGCCAGGGGATATATTGCACGTCACTAAGCAGATTGAGCTTGGCCTGGAGCGATGGACAGCATTTTATATGAAGCATTCTCAGTACATATATAGTGAATGAAGCCAGTTCCCTACATTTCACTTTCAATTCGTGGGTTAGCACCTTGACGAAAACGTTCTAGGCTTCGACACATTGGAACTAGCCTCATTCTCCTGCCAATACCTCAAGCATGGCCTGATGCTAACTCAACCTATTCACTCAGCGGCTCCTACACTTGGTGGTTTCGGAGACTCTTAGCTTAAGGCTGTCACTTGATGCACTATAGCTGAATATTATGCGTCGAAGGCCAACAGATTTTCGCAGTATACCGTAGCTTTGAGGCCTCTAAGATGATAAGACTTTGAGTTGCATGAGATGTTACCAAAGGCTGTACCGCTGTACCTGGGGAAAGGGTAAACTTCGGCGATTGCAAAGCTTTTGACGGAAGTCTTCCAAAACTTCCAGCGCATCTTTGGCTTCTTGCAGTTTCTTCCTAGAGCTTTTTGTACAGAGTTGATGCTGCACCGTAGAGGTACAGCTTCGACGCAAGTGGAGGCGATTCTGGACTCCGCGGTATCGCTGGGGTTAGCATAACTCACAGCTGACGCAGCCGTGGACTCTAGAATCGTCTGGCACAGTCAAACTACAGTGAATGATTCTTCAGGAATGCCGCATTATTCACGAGAAGGCCGAGTTGCCGTGACACTTGCCAGCACAGAAGCGGAATCTGCAGCGTGTAGCTGCTCCTATAGATGCGAGTCCTCAAGCTTCTATGTCAAGTTCAGCTAATGGTAGTTTACCTCCCAAAGAATCTTGATGTACCTCAATATATGGGCAATAGATTGCAGCAGATGAAGACTCGAAAGCTTCTTCGAGGGCCCCTGCCGGAGAAGAAATTCGCCATATCAAAAAATGACGTCTTGAAGCAGTTCTACTTCGACGATGTTCAGAACCAAGTCTGGTCGCCAAGCAGACAAGTAGAATCAAAGAATCAAGGAGATTCTGTCCAAAATTGAGAAGATAAGTTTTCTCTCTGGGGAACAAGCTCTATCTGATCTCAGGGCTACATGAGGCGAGTGCTTAGCAGAGAATTGGTGAACTCAATACATGACAGAACGAAGATGCAGACGCCGTAGGAAGGTATGAAAGTAACAATCTCGGTTGAAATGGGGCGTTTCGTAGCTGGATCACCGATCAGCAACTCATGGCTTTGTCTCATCGGACGTCGAAACTGAAGGTTGACCTTAACTTTAGCCGCCGGATTAATTAGACAAACCTGGGTCGAACGAGATGGGCCAATGCTTTTTTTTTTTTTTTTCTCACAACGAAGTATTGGAAACAGTATTGAAAAATGGAATATTTGTCAAAGGCATAGACATATAATTTCTCGCTACTTAATCAGGCCAATTGCTTGGATTTGGAAGTCGGCCCTTTGAGAGAATGATTGATTAATGAGCAACGTCTGGTGACTCTCAAAGTAAGTCAAAACTTCCGCACTGAATCTGCGTCTGAAGCGAGTATGGCAACGCTTGAGGGCCCAAATTTCAGCTTGCTGTTCGGCAAGTAGCTTTAAATTGTGGCTTGGCCGTGTGGGAGACAGCAAATGACCATTCTCGCAACTCAAGATGGCAAAACGTACCATGAAAGTATCGGCAACCGGGATCGTGACTTGTCCATACCATCCTGACTTTATTCCATCCATACTAGGCTTAGTGAAGCAACCGGCAAATCTAGCTGATTGGAGCCATTCTTACCTTATGCATAAGGAATTGAGGATCTAAAGCTCGGAAACTTGTGACGTTGAACCAACCTGGCGACTTTATCGCGAAGATGACCTTCGCACCCAGCAAAAACAATTTCGATAGCTTTGAAATTGATGCTTACCTGCTCCAAATCATCGAACGCTGCGCTGTAATACCATGAGTCTATCTTTCATTGGTGTGAGGGTTACTACGACGCTTCCATAGGCCTAGGCAAGCAGAGAACCTTTGCCCATATCACGCATCATCATCAAAGTTTTTCATCGTCAAGTATTGAAACCAAGGGGTTGACATGTGAACAATCATAATTCTCAGTTTTCCAGGTGTCTTGAAGAACCTTCCACCTGAGCCTGAAATGCGACTGGTTCAGACGCACTGGCGCCTCGCTGAGCGTCATCAACAGGAATGCCCTCACACCGTTGAGATAATCTCCCGTCTTGTTTGACTCGACGAAAGCCGTTCAATGTCTGCAATATCTCGTGCTCTATAGGTATACGAAAAAATGCCGGGCGCGAGAACTCTCAAATCAGATTGAGGAGGCCTGGAAACAAACCAGCGCAGATTATCTACTTGCCGTGTTCCCGAAGAAACAATGCTATCATCAGTCAGGGTCAACAAGCTTCGCCGGGTCGCCTAGTTACCGTCTGTTCAGGGTGCCAAGTGCCGTGTTCCTGAAAGACAGCTCGGGCTGTTGCGGGCGGGAACGAACCCTCTTCTCTATCGGATGGACGTTGCGAAGAGAGCCATGGCTGTCTTGTCGGTGCACTCATCAATAATCAAGGCCCTCCTCTCCCCTCATTTTTGCGAGATTCCGCCGAAACGTACCACTTCTCCGCACTCCACTCAAAAAGTCCGCAATAGCAGCCGTGCCTTGAAGTGGGCGATAGTTGCGGGCAAAGTCCACTAATTAGGCTTTTTAACTCGGTTTCTTGCGAGCCTAACTGGGTTGCGAGGGGGACGGTCTGCTGTCAATGCCGAAAAAGGGGGCATTCCAGTTCCCCTGAGGAGTCATGTTTCTCTTTGGCTTTTGCTGACGCTCAAGGGAGGCTGGTCATGTCAGCGGGGGTCTGGAAGGACTTTGTCCTCCCCTCACGTTAGAATTTCTCGCCTGCCAACTCTGACGCTCAGGAGTTTGCAACTTGGCACAGTCCGGCAGTCGCAGTTTGGTAGGTGAGTGATCGCCTCCTCATAACGTAACATTCCTGGCTGGTAATCTGCTTAAGATAGCCTTATGACTCGCAGATCTCTCACGTAGGAAGTTGTAGACGACTTGGCGTTGCTTGAGATCTAGGGCCAGTGGGCAAGGGGTTGTGCTTCGTAGCGCACCGAGAATAAATACCCCGGCCGCCGAGCCGGAGATCTCGTCCTCAACTAGTGGCCGAATAGCTCAAGACTCTGGGGGCGCCGCCGTGGCGCGCCGTGGCGTTCCGGAGCACCGGTTCACTCACACCCACCATCCCGATCTTTCGCGGTTCCAACATCCAAACTGACGGCTTGGCACTGCAACCAGCGCTTGGTGTCGCTCTGATTATGATGGCTCGATGACTCGAGAATAACCCAAATTCCCAAATCGCTCTTTGCTTGAACTCTGCACGAAGTGCCGGTTCTCGCGTTCCTCTGAGATTAAAGTCTTGTTCCCTTTGAGCTTCTCGCTTTCTTGCTGCACGAACGCCCGAACCCCCAGACAGGGTTTGTCGCAGGTTTCGCGAGTTGTGACCACGTCCACAACCGTCCGCACCGGAAGCAGAGCGGCTCAAGAACTTGCGACGTTTCACCCGCGTGGATCCCACCAAGCTTGTCTTGCTTCCGTGCTTGAAGAGCCTCAAGAATCCATGTTTCGCTCCAGGGATCACCCTCAGGATGCCATTTACGAGAGCAACTTGCAGTTGGTCGTGTGCAAAGAGAAGAACGGGGTACCACGTTAGCTCCCGTGGTTCCGGCCAACGGTTAGCTTCTGCAGGCCGCAAGGATTGTGGGAGGCTGGCTTGGAAGCTATGATCGCCGGGCCATCAGCGTCGGATCATTGACATCTCTCTGTCAGCGACAAGGATCACATCGTCGACGGGCTGAGGCCGAGTTGTGGTATTTGTAGTCGCAAGGCCGCACATCTGGCCCTGACGCTGCTTCGTCCGGTCTCTGCTCGCCTTGTCTCATCATTCAAATCATCGTGCTGGTCACTCGTTTCTTTCAATCTTGTCTAATCCAAACACTGTCCTTTCTTCATAAACCGCCAGACAATCTGCACTTCCGCTTTCACAGGCCGATAAACAAACATCCCAAGTAATCACTTCAAGATGCGCGCTTCAATCACTGCCGCCACGGCGCTGCTCGCCGCTTTGGTCTCTGCTCATGGCAACATCGTCTCGCCTCCTGCCCGTGGTGTTGGCGCCGCAATGGCTGCAGCGTGTGGACAAGCGAACGTGAAGGCAGTGACGGCCGATCCCACCATTCCTCTGGAAGACTTCACCAACCCTCCTGCAACATGTAAGCAAGCCTCTGGTCCAAGAGCGAATGATACAAGTTGCTAACACTATACCCAAGGCCAACTTGATCTATGCAGGGGAGCGAAGTTCGAGGACAACAAGGCCAATGTCCAGACCTTCAAGGCTGGACAGGTCGTCAACATGAAGGCCGAGATCCCGATCCCCCACGAGGGCCCCATGAACGTCTCCATCGTCGACACCGCAACCAACAAGGTCATCGGACAACCTCTCATCGTCTTCGACAGCTACGCCGACGAGAACCTCGCGGCACTGCCCAAGAACAACACCGACTTTGACATTACCATGCCCTCCAACCTGCCCGCGGGCACCTGCGCTCAGGCTGGCCAGTGCGTCGTTCAATGGTTCTGGGTTGGCACTGCGGCGAAGCAGACATACGAGAGTTGTGTAGACTTTGTTATGGCTTGAGCGGTTAGAGTATTGTCGCCTAGTTATAGAGCAATGGGAGGACTTTTGAGCGCGTTTGAGCACGTAGATCAGCGTTGCATCCCTGTGAATGCTGCGCCATTTTGAAGAGCTTTTTCTTACTACAATTTAATTCTTCATGACAAGGAATGCGAGACAATCTACTTCCCCTTAATGTAACAAAGATTCGTGGCACCACTATTGTGCGTGATGGCTTTGTCATGGACGATGAGGCGTTCAAGTTCAAGTATGACATCAAGATGTCCAATCCCCAAGTAGTAGGTCGAGCGGCATGCTTTCCATGAAGTCTATGGAAGACTCGTTGAGCAGCATCCGCAGACTTGGGTCCGCAGCATCGTCGTCAAAAGCCGGTTGACTTTCACTGTAGAGAGCAAAGTCATTCTCACTCGGCAGATCAGCAAAGTTCTGGGACGGCGCGACAAAGTGGGATGCCGTCGTTCTCGCTTCAGCCTCATCTACCATCTCAGGAACCACGGGTTGGAAGTAGGCTTGATCCAATCCCAAATCCAACTGAGGTAGAAACTCGAACTGGCTGTGGATGCGATCGAGCATATCCAGACATCGTTTCGCCGATCTGCTCTTCTGCGCCAAGGTCTTTAAGCAGGCGCGCGATTTGGAGACTGAGTGCTGCCATGCAAGCCTGTCGGTTTGGTCCGTGGAAGTGGCTTTGGTGAGATAGTTTGCTTCCAGGACTAGTGTTGCCTGGAACAGAAAGTACGTCGCGTACCACACGATTCCCTGGTGTAGAGAGATTTCATTGGCCATGCAGAAAGTAGCAATATCATGGACGCTTTGCATAGCGACGTTCAGGCACTTCTTTTCCGCATTCACTTTGGTGGGCAGGTAGCTGTGGTGTTGCTGACTGCCTCGCCAGAGAAGAATGCGAAGGTTCTGCTCTTTCCAGAGCACGACCGCTCGAGGCGCCCGGAACCACGATGGGCAGTCGGTCTGGGTGAAATATGCAGGCAAAGCTTGGTGCCAGCAATTCAGGTCTCGATCCATTGTTTCGGCGACTCTGTATTCGACCTTTGTCCCGGCGGTCTTTGCTAGTAGAAACTCATGATACACAGCATCAGCAATCTTGGCTAGCTTTGCTTGAGCGATAATTGCTGAGTAGGTCGTCGGGTAATCGACTGGTGATGGTACCGGTGCCTTAAGTGGTAGTTCCTAGAAGGAAGTTAGCGAATCGGAATAAAAAAGATAGAAAGGCAACATACCTTATCGTCGATATTTCGAGGAATGCGGGTATCTATGAAATCTTCCGACATCGCGGGTGGCCTTCCGGTGGTGATGTTGAACCCACTCTCGAAACAATAAATAGTCCAGAAGAGCTGCCGTCGCCGCTCATGTCCCAGAGTGTCCTCCGACCCCGGGGGTTCACGATGAAGACCTAGACCTAACGCCATTCTGTACGCTAAGCCGCTAAAGTTGTAGCCAGTATTAGTCCTATCTCTCTTCTGTAGGTAGTTGCTCATAAGCAAAAAGGCCTGAACTGTCTCGATTGTGCCGGACTCAAGCATCTGAAGAGACAGACTGGACCGTGCTGCGCTGTAGTAGCTCGACTGCAGATGCTCTGATTCGGTGCTAGAGAGCCAGTGGCCGATGGCCAAAACCATCTGATAGACGACGCGCCATGGCGAGTTCGTGAGCCGTTGACGACGCCCTGCGTCAACCCTTTCTCTGAAAATTCGCTCGTGGAGAACCGGGTAGGAAGTGTTGTAAAGTAGGAAGTAGGCATCGATCAACCGACCAGCGATGTATGACGATGGCAGATCGAAAGGTTCAGGTACCGCAAGCCCGGCTGAACTGGACGATCTACGTTGTCTTTTACGATGCGACGTGTGGTGCTGAGTGGCTGGATGCGCGACGTGGATCACAGAGTCGATCTCCCCAAGCAACTGGGAACCGGAACTGCTCCCTGAAAGTTGACGTCAGGCATCGCTCATCGGTCAACTGTCTTCCGCAGGCCAATCTGGAACATGGCTTACCTAAGTAACCAGAGTCGTGGGTTGGCAGCATGGCCATTCCGTCATTCTCATGGGTTGAAGATTTGAATTCTGGCGACAGCGATCCCTCGTGCCATTCATAGCTGTGGGGGGTGACTTCATCCGAGTCCCCCGGCGGAGAATGTAACGAGCCGCCGCCGCCATCATCTTCATGCCCTACTGAGTCCTGCTGAACCTGTGTCTCTTCAAAGGCTGAGTTGACGTCGAGCTCCGGGTTCAGTGACTTGATGAGACCCTGGAGCTGCTTGCACTTAAGCTCGGCGGCGTCGAGGTTCTTCCGGGTCAGAGGCGTCCGATCAGGGGGCTTCTCAAAGCTGCACGTCTTGCCCGTTTTGGCGCAGTATGAACATGGGTCGTTGGCTGCGCTGCCTCTCATGCATCGGCTTTTGCGCTTCTGGCAGTTGACGCAGGCCCGGACGGTGGTTGGGTTGGAACATCGGCGGATAGAGTCCGGCATGTTTCGCTCTTCAACATCCAGTCCCTGTCATGAATGATTCGACTCGTGTGGAACGCCGGGGATCAGAAAGCCGTAATAGAGCTCAAATACGGGTCTTTCTCTCAGCACGATTCTCTCAAGACTGCGTGTGCCATTATGGCTCTCTTTAGAGAGGTTTGAGGTATCGTTCAACTAGTAGTCTCCTCATTAGAGAAGTTGTCAAGCCACGAACTTTTGATGTACCCCTCAAGTTGTACTCGGAGCACAGTCGCCCGATGTACGCCACTCAAAAGCCACAATTGCGGGGAGCTGGGTGGGGAGCACAGCTTGCTTCACAGACCACCTCAAGAGAGACAGACATTAATACCATGAGTTTTGATAATTGCCCGTCTATATCAGTAGAGTGCTTTCATCTCTTAATACCATGATTCGCCGATATTGCCCGTGAACTGCAGGAAGTGGGCGAACATCATTGCGTAGATTCGAAAATGTCAGTTGTTAGACTCGCCGAAGTGCGACCCAAATCTGGCATACTTCCTGGTCACGATTCTTATACCAAACTAGCAGGGTGACGATGGGAAACGATTGAGGCGAAAGTGGGCAGCGTGTTTGAGAGATTATTTCACATTAATATTAATTATTGCTTGATGTTTAAAGTCTAGGCCCAAGATTCTAAGAAAATTGAAAGAGACCACCCCTATCACTAAAACGCTGCGCCATTTCTCTAATGTTAAGATGTGAACCCATAAGCATGGTAGATGCTTAATTCGCTTATGCAGGGATAATGATCAAATCAATGATAGTGCAGTAGCTGAGAGGTGCAGTCGCGCCGGTGAAGGCGTAGATGTGCTGGCCAGAGCCCGTGTTGCCGTCGCCAACCTTGCTCGCTTGGCGGATACAGAACTGGTAGGCCTTGCCATTGGAGTTCATGAAGACCTGAGAGTTGCCGTTGGCGAGAGTGGTGTAGGAGAAGATCTTCATAGCGTTGTTCTTGTCGTTGGACCAGTAGAGCAAGCTGTAAGTGGACGAGGTGGAGATGTAGTAGTAGGCGTTGTGGGTGACAGAGTACAGGCTGCCGTCTGCGGCCACGATGAAGGTCTCACGGCTGCCCTGCTTGTACCAGTTGTCGGTCATGTGGGTGGCATCGTCAGACAGAGCGTACTGGGAGTTGGGGTTGACGATGGGGTTGAGGCTGAGGTAGCCGATGGTACCAGTAGGAGCGCTGGCGGCAACGTTGATAGTGGTAGTAGAAGTGACAGTCTGGACGACGATGACGGTGCTGGTGGCTGCCGTGGTGGTGCTGGAAGCCGCGCCGGTGGTGATAGTCTGGACGGTGGTAGCGGAGGCGGTCATGGTGCTGGTAACGGGGGTGGCGAGCAGGGAGCAAGCGGAAGAGACGACATCGGCTGAAGATGGCAATTAGTATCATGCTATGTGAGAAAGAGGAGAATGAGACATACCAGAGAATCCGGCCAGACCAGCGGGAGTACCATCGCGGCGAGCCTTTCTGCGAGAGCTGGTGGTGTTGGTGGAAGGAGTGACATCGGGAAGGGCAACGACATCGACGAAGTTTCCATCGTCATCCTTGGTACCGTTGACGAGAGGCTCATCGCGTGCCCAGAGACCACGTCTGACCTTGATGGAGTGGTCAAGGGGAGTGGGGTCATCGTGGAGGCAAGTAGTGGTGGGGCGGGGAGGCAGGTCACGCTTAAGCTGCTTGGTAACGGCAACCAGCTGGGTAGTGGTGCTGTAAGAAGTGGTCAAGGGAGTGACAGTCGAGATGACGGTGGTGGCAGGGACGGTAGAGAAGTCAGTCTCGGTGGCGGTGGTGACCGGGGTCGTGTAGCCGAGGAGAGAAGAGCAGTAAGGCTGAAGGCTGGAAGTGACAATGGCGGAGCTGGCACTGGCGACGGCGCAAGGAATTCTGGGCTTGCCGGCGTCCGTGGCGTTGGTGTAGGAGAAGCTGTAAGAGATGGTGTAGTGGTCACTGCCGCGCCACTGGCCGTTGTTGGTGGCATAGCTGTTGTCCCAGGACTTGGAGTACAAGGAGCAGTACTGTCCCTCGGGAACTCCATTCTTCAAGACGAAGAAGGTGTTGAAGAACTGGCAAGTCTGAGCGGGGGCGTTTGCGGGAGGATGAGCAACGTTGTACTCGGACTGAGCGGTACAGGCAGCTGCGCAGAGCTTAGGATCGAAGGGGCCATCGGTGAAGATTTTGGAACCCAAGAAAGTGTCGTATCCAGCGCAGTCGAGGGGAGCGTTGATGGAGTTATCTCCCAAGTAGACGGCGGAGCTGTACCCGGCCTGATCATCGGCGCGCTGGGCAACGTAGCCGTTGGATCCAGCAATCACAACCTCGAACTGGTTGCGCCATTGGCCGCGGTTGTTGGCGGTGTTCTCGTAGACGGGACCACCCCAGAAGACACACTTGATGACATTGGTGCTAGCGGGGTTGGGGCAGGCATCGGCGGGTTCCTGGATAAAGTTAGAGTCTGGTCACTTATGTTGGTCAAGAGGGTTAAGACTTACAATAGAGGGATCACGCTCGAAGTAGATGTTGAAAGCAACACAGCCGTTGATGGCATCGCACTTGGAAGCGCAAGCCTGAGTGTCGTAGCTAGTGAGGGTAGTGTAACCCATGTAGCCATAGGCACTGCTGGATCCCTGCAGGTTCTTGAAGGTGTTGAAGTAACCAGAGGGAGTAGCAGCATTGTTGGCAGCCGCCGCGAGGTCAGCGTCGCTCAGGAAAGCGGCCGAAGTATCGGGGTTCGAGACGGGGCCGTATCCGACGGGCTGCGGCTCGCAAGCGGAGCGCTCGACGAGGCGCTTCTTCTCCGACTTGACAGGCGCAGTCTCCTGGGGAAGCGGGCTGGCCTTGACCTCGGCGACGACGCTGGCGGCAGCAGCGTTGGCATCGTAGGGAACGACGGTCGGGGAAGCACCAACAGGGACGGTGGTCTGAGGCGGCTCGGGGGCATCGTCAATGACCTGCCAGACAAGGTCTTGGGCCTTGGCGAGCGCGACAAAGGCGCCGATGATAGGAGCAGAGCGCATTTTGAATGATCTCTGTCGAACTGAAGAAGTCGATCGAAAGAAGGAGCTTTCAAGGATCGGAGCTCAAGGTGTAAAGAGAGTGAAGAGGAGCGAAGATGCTTGAGTTGACTGGTGAGATATTTCGTCAATAATGGCGGATATCTCAGTTCCTTATGTATTCATCCCACGATGCCTCCGACCTCGTAGTCTAGCCAATGCTTTTTGCTTTCCCGTTCGCTAATACCGCACTTGCGACGACAACAGCAGTGCTCGGCTCTCTCCACGACTCGCTTCATCTTCACGATGTATGCAATAGTGTTGATGCTGAATGCTCATTTCCACATCACGCGGCCGGCAAGAAGCGGTGGAGGACTAGGTCCGGAGCTGGACCACGGAGCTGTACCATGGGATTGGGAATGGTGGCCGTGTGCTGTTCGCTCTAAAAGCCCATGTCCCCCTGTTAGACAGCATTTCCAGACTGTTGGTAACAGATTCTGGACCCTTTACGCCGCACAGATGGCTGTATTGGGCTTGAGTTGCTGGTGTTCCCGGGTCAGGTCGACGACAGATCCACGTGGGTTGAGCGTGTAGCCGCCTTGCCCGTTGCCAGATTGAGGGATTCAGCTCTCAACGGGAGTTGTAGCTGAGAGTCCACGGACCCAAAACAGCAGATTTTAGCTGGTTCAACCCCTCGTGCCTTGTGGAGATCCCCAGCTTGCGTAAGAGTCTGGACTCGAATATGCAGGGGTCAACAGCAGGGGGTAAAAGGCGGCTGACGATCAATAGTCCAGCAAAGTGGTGAGAGACCGCTTGTTGACCTATGAAGTTGCTTCGGCAGATGAAAAAACTTGAGGGACTGTCCCTGACTTTTCTGCATCGTAAGGCGCTAAGCGAGTAGACGCCATGCCTTTGACATGTTAGTCCTACGGTGTTACCGACGAAACGGAAGACGAGGGCGTTTTACTCCTATCGCATGTCGCCAATCAATCTATTGAGTAGCTAAGACCAAAATAAGCTTCCTGGGAAACCCAAAAAGATGGGAAAGTAATTATCGATGTGGTTCCACACAAGTGGATGCCGGGGAGTAGTCTGGAACAAAGGACTGCACAGCATAACACGCCCACGGCCCAGGAAACATTGCGCCTTTTTCTCTTTCAGATCTTCTCATGAGTATTCGGGGGCATCCAAATTTTCCGGTGCTCCTCCACTAGATTGGCACTCACATGAGCTGATCAAGTGTACTTCAGCTTCGGATACATCACTGTGTAAGCCACCAGCTTCACTACTATTAGAATGCAAGCCAAGAGTTGGTCTGTAGGAAAGAAACACCTCAAAGTATCACAGGAAATGTTTTAATATTGAGCATTGACAGGGTATTTCGGGTCTTGCTCTTCCATCATCCCTTATCTATCACATGTACAGACTTGCTACATTTTAGATCTCATATGCAATGTAGTTTGAATATGAGTGAGAACTTTGCTCAAGACTGGGTTGTTGCGACGATGAAGCAGGAATCATGTATCACTATCATCACAGCACTTGCCACTCGACCCGTAATCTGAGTGCGAGGAAGCGAAAAAGTAGAAGTGAAGTTATCATGAGGTCTAGAAATGGCAAGGTCCGCGCCGATCGTGGCGCCGGCTTGCACTAGACTGCCGCGAAAGCGAGTACGGAAGAAAATTTGCCGATCTCGACTCTGATTGCACAGATGATGAGTCAATGCCAGGTACTAGCGCCATTAGCGGTAGTCCGGTTGAGCACTTGTGCCCAAGTAGGATTGGGTCCAAGTGTTCCTGGCTTCATGGGCTTGAGGGCGTCGCCATCTTCGGGAGGCCGCGCGGTCGCTTCCGTCACATCCGCTTCCACAAACGCCATGTTGAACTCGCTTACCTCCGCCTGTGGCCTCCTGAACGGTTTTGCGGCGTTTTTTCACTGAAGATTGAAAGACTCTGATCTCGCTTCACCTACATCTACGAGGGAAACCAGACAATATGTGTCACTATCGCTCGTACACATGTAGGAACGCGAAAGATTCCAAAGACAAGCACCAGGACGACCCGATTTGCTGCCTCGCCCTTACTTACCTTCGCTCCTTGGTTTTGACACATTTTTCTGTTGTCTTCAAGTGCACGAGCCCTGATAGAACGCCGAGCTCGGCACCCACTCCCGTCCTTCGCCGTTTCGAATTGGCAGCCTAGAATCTCGTGGCTTGAACTGTCAAGCCACAACGCCTGATGTATAACGCAATGAGGAATAGACGCAATTCCATCGGCAGGGGCGACGATATTGTGGCTTGCTGTCAAAGTGCTAACCCAGAGAGACTATGAAGTGCGACGGACAAAAGCCTCCAGTCTGTTATACAGTACCGCGCGGATCGATCGGCATCTTGATGACGAAAAATTAATCCAAAATAGGTGATTTTTTCATAAATAACATAACGCTCGAAAAGGGGCAGTGCGCACAACATTGATAACAGCGAATTTCTGGGTCCCGTGCCTCATGCCCAAAGTTGTGAAGTTGTGCTGTGGCTTCGGCTCGAGGGCAGCATCAGATGATGAGGCGCTCAGGGGGCGGCAATGAGATAATTGCATCGAATTCCCCATATCAGAGGCAATGGAACAAGCAAATCTTTGCGCCCTCGAAGTTGAGTCATTCCTTGTGACAAAGGACTTCCGTTTTGAAAGACTAGAAAGTCATGGTAGACTATCCTCTAATAATTACCAAGCCTTCTGTCATCTAGTTGAATAGAAAAATTCAATACCGGAAAGATGCTCAATCAAAGCCATGCCTCTATGTTATTGGCCCAATTAAGGGGGTTGAATTAGACGTGAAAAGAAACTTGCACTGCCTTCTCCCCCCACCATGCCTTCTTCATTCTATCTAACATTTGTATGATTCAAATATTCGTAACGTTCATTGTAGATCAGCGGTAGAAGAACTTGGGGTCGGCTTCAATGTTCAGTCTGTTAGATTTGAAGATCACCTACCTAAGCTTCACACACCCGGGACCAAAGGCATTGGAAGGGAGCTCGATGATACCAGACTTTCCGCCTACAGTATCCCCATCTTTGACTGCTAGACCAAAGGGGCATCTTTGCAGAGGCTCCTCCCAGAGTAGCTGAGCGCAATTTGCATATATGGAAGTTATCGGTAACATGTTGTCTTTGAATATCACCAACGCCGTTCATAGAAATCGTCACACTGGAAACAGAGTCCTAAGTTGATTGAAAGTTATTTTGCTCAAGTTTTACGTTGTATCGAACATGTGTAACTCTCATTTAAGCGGACGACAAATCGAGACTGCGGCAACTACCGCTCGCATTGCGAAGTCCGAAGACTGAGCTGTGGCACAAATACCTCATGACATTGAGACCAGGATATTCAACTCAAAGCGGGGTGAAATTTGGTCTTTCTCGGACGTTGGTGGAAGGATCTCGTCTGATGTTGATGAGGAAAGCACGTCGGGCAGAACAACGCCGACGAACTACAAGTTGGAGTCATCTGATGAAGGCATCCTCGCTACCTCCACCTTCGGAGCACAGCGCCCCGATAACAAGATTCAGGCTTTCGGCACCGTGGTAGCATCCACTTTCCCCAGACCCAGGAGAGTTTAACGTGGGTCGTCTGGGGGGAATTCTCCGATGATGCGTCTTTATGTATAATAGTGTTCCTCTTCTTCCCATCGGAGGGGCGATCATCTACGTGGTTCGTCCCAGCTCTTTGCTCGTGCAGCTGTAGGTCTTGAACTCTTGTTTCTAGAATACTCGGACTTCTGCTTCTATCCCTCGGATACCATAATCGACATGGAGATCTCATACGGCGCAGCTGGTAATACGGCTCAAATCACCGGCTTGAATTACAAAGGTTACTGAACAGCATTCCTAGGCTATAAAGGCCTCATCCACGAGCCATACATTTTCTTTCTCGCATGTTTCGCAAGCATCGGTGGTGTGTTATTTGGGTGAGTTCCAAAGTGTACTCCTGGGCCTTTTGAGAGACAACTTGAAGTGTGTGACTTATCAAGACTCCTTCAGCTACGATCAAGGCGTAATCAGCGGCGTTCTGGTGATGAACAATTTTGTCAGTTAGCTTTCGACCCCTTTGCAGCCCGTGGGTCTCAGTAGCCTGACTTCTATCCTTACAGGCCAAGCAATTCCCAAGCCTTTCCGAAGATGCGACTCTCCAAGGGTGGATGGTGGCAGTACTCACACTTGGAGCAATGGTTGGCGCTTTGGTAAATGGCCCGATTGCTGATGCCCTATCTCGTCGCTGGACTATTCTCCTCGCCAACGTCATCTTCCTCGTAGGCTCGATCATCCAAGCCGCGTCGATCAACGTTCCTATGATTTTTATTGGGCGCTTCATTGCCGGATTGTCGATTGGTCAGTTGTCCATGGTTGTTCCTCTGTACCTGAGCGAGCTTGCGCCGCCAAACCTCCGAGGGAGTCTTGTCGCGCTGCAGCAGCTTGGCATCACAGTGGGAATCATGATTGCTTTCTGGCTAGATTATGGGACCCAGCATATCGGAGGTACAGGTGACGGTCAGTCTCCTGCAGCTTGGAGACTCCCACTCGCTCTCCAATGCGTGCCTTCGATAATACTTGGTTCTGGAACCTTCTTTTTGCCATTCAGCCCGCGTTGGCTTTTGATGAAAGGTATGGATGATTCAAACCTTAGGCCATTGGCTTTCTTCTTACGTTCAACTACTAGATCGCGAGGAAGATGCGCTTGCCACCCTCGTCCGAATCCGGCGTGTCCCACCAACAGACGCTCGGCTTAAGCTCGAGTTGACAGAGATCAAGGTCGCAGCCCGATTTGATATCGAGACAACCGCCGAACTGTATCCTGGCGTCACTTCACGCCTAAAACTTACCTTGGACAGATACAAGTCACTATTCGTTGTTCGGCACCTCAATCGCCGTTTAGTGATTGCCTGCCTGCTTCAACTGATACAGCAATTTACCGGTATGTCCTACATTCAAGCTGCTTGATTGTATCCAAAGTCAAGCGGTGATTCCAGCGTCTTCTCAGCGAATGACTAACAACACGGTAAGGCATTAACGCCATCATCTATTATTCGCCGACAATTTTTAGGAACATAGGGCTTTCAGGCAACTCCGTAGATCTACTAGCAACTGGCGTCGTCGGTGTCATTAACTTCTTCTCCACCATCCCCGCCATTATGTTCATGGACAGATGGGGGCGGAAGAAAGTCCTCATCATCGGTGGAGTCGGCATGGGAGTGTCTCAACTCATTGTGGGAACTCTCTATGCTGTCTACAAGGACAGCTGGGCAAGTAATAAGTCGGCTGGGTGGGCCGCTGCGTTCTTTGTATGGGCCTACATCGCCAATTTTGCCTTCAGCATCGGATGCGTCAACTGGATTGTGCCTTCGGAGATCTTCCCACCTGGAGTGCGATCCCAAGCAGTTGGTCTTGCGATTGGAACCAATTGGCTGAGCAACGTAAGTCAATACGAGATGTTAATGGTCTTGCATGCACTGCTGACACTCAGAAGTTCATCGTTGCTCTCATCACTCCCCGAATGCTTGAGGCGATCACGTTTGGCACATTTTACTTCTTTCTGGGTAAGTCAGAAACTCCTTGGACCCTCGGGTGCATGAGATAATACCAATATTAACTCGTTAGCTTTCTGTGTAATCCTCGTTATATGGGTCTACTTCTTTGTCCCCGAGACCAAGGGCGTTCGGATCGAAGAGATGGACAAGCTTTTCGGTGGTTATCAGGGAGAGGCAGACATGGTCAGAATGGGAAATATCAGGCAGCAGTTAGGATTGGCCCATGGGAATGATTTGAAGAAAGAAATTGATATCGGGGTCAGTGAGGTGGAAAAGGTATGAAGCATCGATGTCTGGTTTAGTCGGTATTCGGCTCGAGCTATGACTGAGCTCCGAAAAATTTGAATTAGTATTAATGTCTGAAGACCGGCTTTTTTGCTTGACTACTTCACATGCATGACCACAAGCATTTAAGAAACCGTACATCCAAACTGCGTGCCTAGAGGATAGCAGTTTCGAGAGGAATCTAGGTGTGTCTTTGCCTTGATCGTGCGTTCCATCATGAGCCAAATGATTACCGGTAACACTCCTCCTGGAGTAGGCACGACGACAAGATTGTTAATGTCGTGCACCCCAGGATCCAAGTCACCCATTTTGGTCTTCACATCAAAACCGAGGTCAACCACCAGCTTAACTCCCGATCCAATCATGCTCGGTTTGATTGACCCGCCCTCGTTCTGTTCCGTCATGATAACGAAGTGGCGCTTGAAATCCTTGGAATCGATGTCGGCCAGTGTACCATTGATCACTTCGAGGATTTCGATGTGGGGCAGATGGCGTGTTAAGTCCGCCTTGAAGCCTGGCGTGATGATGTTGGTGCCCCCCACCAGTACGATGGTCAGGTCGAGCATCCAGGCCTTGTGGTAAGCGTCGAGCAGCCGTCTCAGAGCATCCGCTGCAATATTGGTTGCGTATCCCTTTGCATATTCCTCAATGTGCTTCTTGGTGTGTATGCTGCCCATTATTTCGTGTTCCACGAGATGGTGTGGTAGAGGTCGCTGAATTAGGATGCCATGGGTGGTTTCGTCTTCATTCAATTCCGCAATTTTGTCGAGCGTCTCATCGGCCGACGCGTCAGGCGGAAGTCGGTGTGATGTATATCGAATACCAGCCTAAGTAGCTCAATGTGAGTTAATTCCTCTCACTTCATAGTAGGTAGAGTGATGTGTGTACCTTGGCAGCCACCTCGGCTTTGATCTGCAGGTACTCTTTCGCGTCGCTACCAGTGTCGAAGTATATTACCCCTAGCGTTGGTTCGATGCCATCCCGCGATCGATGTCGGTAGCACCATCGCTCTATGTTCGCCGACACAGGCAGGCCTTTGAGAAGAGAAGCACCTGGGACATGTTCGAAAGTAGGCTGAGGCTCGTGCTTCTCATCAATGATGGCATCCCCTCCAAGTGTGCTCAATGACATGACGAATCGCGATGCACTCCAATCAGAGGCACAGACAGACGCAGAAACAGAGAACCAGCTACGAACCCAAGCTCCGGTGATGACCTGCGTCAGAGGCGACAGCCCGATTTTGATATCCTGCAAGACGCGTCGAGCATGGGGGTAGGTTGCCTGGCGCGACGGGCCGCGGTGCTAAATGAATGTCTCAGAATCCCGACTGAAGACGTCGATCTCGGTCTGCAACAAGCCGCAACAGCTAGCGCCGGTGGGGATGTGTCACACGGGAACATCCAAAATTTTCATTCGTTTGTCGCTTTCGGGGAACAATCCTCGAGCCATTCTGCGGCAAGCCTATGTGGAGTATGTGTTGCTCTGGCTGTGCTGGATGCCAGACAAGCAAGTCTCGATTGGGGCATATTGTGCGAAGAAAATGGGTACCCCAAGCGGCGAAGGATTGGGTCTTACTGTTACACACATGGTTTACGCAGTCGCGATGTTCAATTGAGTCTACCTACTCTATGTCTATCCATCCAGTTCACGCCTTGGTACTCTCGGTGCTACTCTGCTTGCCACGCCCAAAGACCTTGCTCAGAATCTTTGAGCACCACTTCGTCACCGTCGCTATCCCAAAAGACCACCCCCGGATTCTAACAGTGTAAACAAAGAAGTACACCAGAGCCCAATTAGCAATGGCAAAGGCAATCAAGATGCCAAAAGCAGGCCACTTATCGCTGTTGTGGACGTTGAGCGTCTGCATGTACTCGCCGCCGTTGTTGTACGGACAGTAGCCGCAATTGGACGTTGCGTTAAGGTCCTCTAGGTAGCCCGTCATCGCGACCTCATTAACGAACCGATCAGCGTATTGGCCACACGTTGAGCCTGGAGGCGGATTGAACCTGGCGAGCTCTGCAGAGCTGCACTGCACGACTGCCGGCGGAAGGACGGCTGAGAGGACGCCTCGGCTGAACCAGGTTGTTGGGTTGATGTAGTACATCCAGTATTTCCAAAACGATGGCATTGACGCATAAGGCACCAGGATGCCGTTGAAGATGGCGATCATGACGAAGAAAAAGGGTAGGATCTATCGATGTCAAAGTTAGAAGAGAACTCGCTGAACGAATTTGGTTCGGTTGCTTACGTTTGACACCGTGGAGTACGATGGCCCGAAGGCGGAAATCCACTGGCCCCAGCTGGATTGGAATAGAGACCAGACAAGAACCATAAGGTAGGTGTAGCCAGAGACAGATGAAGTAGCGGGGAAGCCAACGGGGAAGTACCACAACAGCCAGTAGATTGTGGCAGAGACAATGGCCATAGGGATCTCGCACACGACGTTAGCTGTGCAAAATGCGACCCATCCATACGTGCGACTAGGCAGTTCGCGGTCTTCCCACAGATCTCGGTTCTGGAAGAACTTGATCACGACGCTGTTGACAACGGTGGGAGGTACGAAGAAGATGAGAATAATGGCGCTGAACATGCGATTCTGCATGCCTGCGATGTCGTTCCCGAGCATCCAAAATGTCTACGAGAAAGTTAGCTCCAGTCATGATTCAGGACAGAGCCAGTTGCTAAACTTACGAATCCGTTGAAGATACCCATGATCGTATGCACAAACACTCTGCTATACATGTACTGGGGCTCTCTCCAATGCTGAACAAACATCCTCTTCGTGAGAAGGAGGCACTGGTAAGCAGTCGAGGCCGCAAACTCCGTCTGCGCCGTCGATCTCTCTGGCGGAGCTCGTCTCTCGGCAGTAATTTGATCAATTTCCGCTACAATTGCTTTGTGCTCCTCCGAGTTGCGCCACTCCTCGTTCCAGTCGATGCGCTTGCCGTCCTGGACTGACGGTTGCGATGCCGTCTCGAGGATGAACTCGGCAACGTTGCGGCTCGGGGGGCAATGGAAGCCCCGCTGTGTGAAATAGTCGATGACGACGGACCCGTTGGTGCCGACTGGTCCGAAGTAGAATGTGTTTCCGCCTCGGTTGAGGGCCAAGATCATGTCGAATTGCTCGATGAGGTCGGAGGAGGGCTGGTGGATTGTGCAGATGATGGCTTGGCCGGCGTTGCATAGCTTTCGGAGGAATCGGACGATGGAGAATGCAGATTGGCTGTCGAGACCACTCGTGGGCTCATCAAGGAAGAGAAGCAGACTAGGTTTAGCAGCTAAACGTATGTCAGTTGAAATTTGTGGACGGAGGACTTTTTCAGATGGAATGCTTACCCAGTTCAACCCCAATCGTGACTCTCTTCCTCTGCTCCACTGTCAAGGAAGATATGATGGCATGCTGCAAATCGCCCAGCTCCAGGAGGTGAATGATTCGATCCACGTATGCAATCTTCTCCTCACGAGGAATCGCGCGTTCTTGTCGAAGTAGCGCAGAGAACTCCAATGCCTCTCTGATCGTGGCGGTCCCTTCGTGGATATCTCTCTGTTCACAGAAACCAGTACCTCTCTGGAACTCGGGCCCCAAACTAGCTCCATTCACAAGCATATCTCCCATAACGACACCAATCCTTTGTCTCTGGGCGATAGTGTTGAGAAGAGTCGTCTTGCCGGCGCCCGAGCTGCCCATCAGCGCGATCATCTTCCCAGGCTTGGCGTATCCGCAGACGCCGTTCAAGAGTTGTCGTTCACCGCTGCCGTAAGGTACCGTGTAGTTGATGTTCTTGAATGTGAAAACACTTTGGCCGTCGCCGATGGGCTCAAATGCCTCTTCAGTCTCTTCTGTAGGGCCGTTCTTCTCGTTGTCCACGGTCTTCCTATCCCGAGGTTTCGCGAAGATCAGGGACTGGGCACTAGATCCCTTGAAGCGAATAGTGTCGACAGCCAGGACAGTCATGGCGAGGAAGAAGACGGTGAAAGCGATCATAATGCCAAAGTTGCGCCATAGGTTCGCTCTCGAGCTACATTATGTCAGTGTGAACTTATTGGGGAGAGAATGGCACGCGAATCTTACTATTGAAACGAAGCCTGCAGATAATCATGACCGCTGACGACGGTACTACTCATGGTTGAGCCAGGAAGACTGCAGCCTTGATAATTGGGATCGGACCCGGGTCCTCGCGGCACAAGCTGAGACTCGCTACATTGCATTTCTCGTCCAAAGAACTCGTTGGCTTGAAGGGCTTCGAATCCGTAGGCTACGGGGTTGATGTAGTAGATCCAGCCGAACCAGATTGCGTCGCTGAGCAAATTTGGTTTGGGGATTACGTATCCCGTCATGATGAACATGATGTTGAGGACTGAGAATAACAGTTAGAACTATCTTCAAGACGGTTAATGAGCCGAAGGAGAAGACCTACCGACTCCAACAAACCGGATAGAATCGTCAACAGTGGATGACAGTGACGCGAACATCCGGTACATGGTCGTTAGGCAAAAGGTAGCTGTGTACACGATGAGTGTGTAGATCCAGAACTTGGAGGCGTCCACGTCGAATTGCGCCAAGAAGTAGACTGGTATGGAAAACAAGAGCGTCATGATGAGGATCAGCGGGAAGTCCAACAGCATTCTCGCAATGACCACAGCAGACGGCCTGTAAAAGGCAAACACTCGCTGCCTCTCGATCGTTGTTCTACCATCAATCGCAGGGACGAGTTCTGCAAACTGAAGCCATCCGATAAAGGCAATGGAGAAGAAAGCCACACCGCCTCTCGCGAAGACTGAAGATGTGTCCTGTCCGGAGCCGTAGAAAAGGGATGAAACGATGAGACTGTTGGCGATGATGATGGCGAGCTTGGTGTAGAATGAGCCCCGGTCACCCCACAGAAGCCATGCCTGGCGCTTGGTACAGGCAGCCACTTGCTTGAAAAACGAGACGGTGTAGATGGAGTCACCGATAACGGTCTTGCTCTTGGCATCCTTGACGGTAGCTGCGAACATGCGATGCTTGTCGTTGTTCGCTGATCTGCTACCTCGTTCGTAATCCTCGACATCTTGGAGGATGCGTTGGTAGTGTTCGCTCTCCAAGAACGCCCGTTCAAGCTCCTCAGATGTTTTGGGAGTTGTCTCTTCTCGCCCGGGCTGGAAGTGGCGGGCATTCTTATCGGCGATGGAAGTGAGAAAGTCGGCGGTAGTTCTGAAGGGCAGTTTTGTTAGCTTGCCGACTTCCCCAGAATAGTTTCACTATCACTCACTGTCTAGGAGGGCATAGGTATCCCAAGTCCTCGAAGTACTTCTTCGCCTCATCACCGGGTCCCTGGAACAGCATGCGTCCGTCATCTATGACAAGAACCTTGTCCATCAACTCGTAGATTGACTCCCCAGCTTGGTAGAGTGTTACGAGGGTCGTCCGTCCGCTAACATCGGTGTAGACGCGAAGTGACTTGGCAAAACTGAGAGCTGTGCTGGCATCGAGTCCTCGGGTAGAGTTGTCCCAGCAAACGACAGATGCTCGTGTGGCTAGCGTCTCAGCCAGACTCACACGTTTTCGCTCTCCTCCAGAAACACCTGAAAAGAGTTAATGAGGCTGGCTCCAGGCTGTAAAGATTTGAACTACACACCTCGAATGTGTTCGTCGCCGACCAACGTGTTCTTGGTGTGATCAATTCCAAACATTTGAAGAAGCGAATCGAGAATCAGCGGGATCGTCCATTGCTCTCTTTTCCGAGTCTTTGTCTTCAAGGCGAACCATAGAGTCTGCCAGACTGTAAGGGGGGGGAAATGCCGATCGTCCTCTTCGCAGTAGACGACCTCGCCTCGGTATCGCTGCAGTTGATCTTCGGCCGGAATAACGCCATAATGTACCTCCCCATCAACCTTGGCGTATTCGTCCCTGTGGTTAGCGATAGCTTTGAGAAAAGTCGAACACCCGGAACCCGGTCGCCCGAGAACCAGCATAATCTCCCCGTGCCGCACCGTTCCTGTCATATTTCTAATGAGGTCGACAGTTGGCTCTTTGTGAATCTTCAGCTTGGGGAAGATGCCAGTAATGAAGTGGTAAAAGTCCGGTCCGAAAGTGTTGACCAGATCCCGGGGAAACGTCGTGACCTGCTTCGTCGATGACTCGATGCCCTTTACTGTCAAATTCTTGAAAGAAACACCTAGTCTCTTTGCCGGTCCGCCGCTAGGTGTGCGCATGTCCATGATCCCCCTCCTGAGAAAGTCGGGCAGGTCGAAAGTGTCATTGCCTGATAGACTGGGTGCGATTGTCGAGTCGCTCTCTCCTCCGACATCGCCATGGTGTTCTGAAGGCTTCCGTTGATATGCAGTAGAGTGGCGGTGTTGAATCGTGCTCAACTCCTTCTCAAGATCGTGATACTCCTCCAGCGCGGCGTTTACTGAGATTTCGCCTGCCGCATTCTCTCCCCAGCGGCCGTCTTCCTCTGGTCTCGTGGCCGCCGCCATACTGTTGTTGTTGTTGTTGTTGTTGTCGAAATAGGAAACGAGACAGACAGGGGTATCTCTGTGAGTACAAAAGTCTATTGGTCAAGTTAACGGCGCCGCGACTCGATCAGGTACGTCAATGTGGTGGTTTAAGAAATCTGGAAGAGATGAAGAATGCAATATATCAACAGCAGCAATGGCAGAAGGCTTGGACGTCAAGCTCAAGAGGCTTTGAGGTGTACCAGCTAGCATACAAATAAACGTATCGAGTGCACCCTGTCTATTATGTCAAGTCTTTGAAGGCTAAGGTAGACTCCGCATGATGTAGCCCACCGGCCGGCAACGTTGCGATTAGCGTCCTCAACATGCACTCCACGGAGGAAAATTTGTAATCCGCGACGGTCCGCCAGCATTCGCAGCAAGGGGTTTGAATCAGAATAGGGCATGCAGGGCTCACCCAAAGAGGGTTGTATCAACTCTGTGGAGTAGATCAAATTTCATCTGCTCCGTGGGAAACATTTATGACCAACGCCGAGAGTGAAAGAGTCGATGGCACCCTTATCTCGGGGGGTGAGGAGACCCCACGCATAGTTTGCCATGATGACATACAGGCTCAACATCAATTTTCAAGCCAACGGGGGCTTGCATGTGCTTTTGTGCCGGCAACTCATACAAGCGCCCATTATTAATCCCCAAAAGGCCAAGCTCTCTTTTTTTCACCAAAGACGGAATCCAAATTCCTCTGGGGGTGGGGCCGGGTTTTCTTTCGACTTTCGCCGGGGCGTCTCTAGCGTGGTGGCGGATCCCGCTCCCAGTATTACACAGCATGCTGTTTGTGCCGATGTTTGAAGCACGACGCGGAGTTAGGAGGGATGGCGTTTCCCATGACTCGACTGACTCTCCAACTCGGCCATTGGCCGTTAGGATCTGTCTTCTTCTCTCTGTTATAACCGTTATTTCCCTAGTTTTGATGTTGTCTCACTACAATAGTAGCGACCAGCAAATACTTCTCTGGCGTCATTGCCGCCCCATGTTACAATATGTGATGCAGATATCTCTTTTTACATCTGACTGAACATTATTCGCAGGAGATGACGACTAGATTTATTGCTTGGACCGAAACACCTGAAGAGTTCTCTGTTTCATGAACAAACTCCGAACGAACAGACAACTTCCAGAATTCTTTGCAGTCCAGACTAACAACTCGACACGATCCACTCAACTGCAGCTTGCTGACGCGCCCCACATGTTGCGGTCCAAGCTGATCGACGAGCCGAGAACGTGTGTTGCTTGTGTCGCAGCACAGGGCAGCTGGCCGAAAATCTCACGCATATCTCGCATCTTAATAAGGAGGGACCAACGAGAAAAAGAAACTATATGACGGGAGCCGCCTTGACAGGCGGTGTGAAGCAGGGTCTTGGATGTGCGAAGTGTCACTGATTCTCGTCTGCATCTAGGGAATCTTCCTAGATCCTCTCGATTGAGTTCAACAACCCCTCACTGTCACTTCAGCCAGAGTTTTGGGAACTTCTGCCGATACTCCGCGCCTAGGTTGCCATTCTGGGATATGGCTTGTGAAAGCTCTGATTCGAAGTGAAGCCGAGATGCATGCGTCATTCTCTCAGTACTTTTACTACCCAAAGAATGCGCTTCAGTCGACGAGTGCAATTAACATTGAACGCATACTTGCATGCGTTCAGGTAGCACGGCAGAGGGCCTCTGTGACTCATTCAACTTTGGCTGCGGCAAAGGGCCCAGGGGAGGATCACAGACAAAATTGGTAAGTGACAACACCGGGAACCCTGGTGACCTGGAGATAAGCGGCATGCGGTTAAGTTGCTAAAATCCGGTGAGCCGGCCCCACTCTTCGGGGACAAGTCCGGAGCTGAACACGGCTGAGGTTCGGCGGATCTCCGAGAAGATAACAGAATTTGTTCATGTCCTACGGCTCCTCTCTGCTGCTGATTAGACCTGAATTTTAACGAAATTAGTGGCATTTGAGCTTGAGTCTCATTAACACCAGAATATCCTTCGGCCAAAATTCGCAAAAGTGCCATAGAAACATTCCTACCCACCTGCGCCTTTCTCGTTATCTCCAGCCAAATGTTCGGTCGCCTTTGAGCTGCTCAAGGAAAATCCCATTCTTAACGTTGCCATTTATAGCTAGTTACTTTCATTGCGGAAATCCATTCCCAAGATATCTCCAATGTCTTCGGGAACTGGGAATACCTTCTCAGTCGGAACCAGGCCTAGGGCCACCAGCTCATCATCACCGACATCAGGCCGCTCGTCCAAGACTCTTTTCAACTGCCGCGCCATGGCCGTCACATCCTCAATTCCAACAATTCCTTCAGCAACCCAAACACCGCAGATACTAGCAGGGATCCCAATCTGAATACTCCGATACGGAAGCTTCTCCAACCGCACATCACGTTCTGGGTCCCATTGGACGCGCACCCGCCCGTCGCCCTTATCCAAATCGCTGCCGTGGGTTAAAGCGCTTTGTCGAAGAAGGTCGACGAAACCGGCGTGGGTCATTTTGATCGCCAAGATGCGCTCCTGGCCGCGATCTTTGTATGAATAGCCTGCGCGGTACAGCATCCACGCCCAGCTTGGTTTGATCCAGGTCATGCGGGTAAGTTTGAAGTTTGGGGATGCGTCGAGTTTTTGAGCAGCGACAGCTGCCTCCGCAATGGCAGCGTTGTAGGCTTGGTAGACCGTGATGGTATCGTCATCGAAATGGGCCCTGATCTGTCTGGAAGGAGTTGCTGTCCCGGGAGCCTGGCCTCTGCGTTGTGTTTGAATGGTAGGAGCCATCTTCAACTCACTTGACGATGTTTCTGTTGTATATGAATGGTCTGGAAGAAATCCAGAGTCGAGGTCGGCGAAGATGTCGACGGATAGATCGCAGCTTTTCTGATATTCAGCGCAGGCTCAGCGCAGGCTCAGCGCCACGACGCCACAAGGCGGCAGCCAGTGAGTCACGCCGATCCAAGAAGCATCAACCTCACCAGCGACCACGCTCTCGGAATCAAAACTCAACAGATTGAGCACGACGAACAACTCGAGCACTTCATCTGTAGGAGTCTATGCTCTGCTGCACGCGCTCACCAACGCTCTCATCGGATGGCATCGAGTTCAGCGTCCGATTAGCGTACTTTTTATTCTTCGCAGGGTCCACCTCCTCGACAAAGATCCGAGTGACAGTCTCCATCTGAATGCCCTTGAGACCAGCCACGTCCCGGTCGTGCAACGACGTCTGGCTCTCGCTACGGTCGTGGCTGGCCTCTGAGCCAAGCCTCGCGCGGCGCGAGGGTCTGCGAAACACGCTTGGCTTTCGGTTATGCGAGTCGTCTTTCGCTGCGCCGCCCTCGATCCAGACCCTGTGTCCATACTGTTGACCTAGGGGCGTGAAGTTAAACGTGTCCAGGCCGAGGTTCTGCTCGTCGACGGGCGCATCAAAGAGGATGCCACTTCGCGTGCTGGAGAAGATGAGGACGTCGATCCATCCGTTGGAAGTGATCATGCAGCCGGCGAAGATGAGGTACTCTGCCGAGAGCTTGATACCCCCGCTGCTGAGGATACGTCCCAGAGCCAGCGGCGCTGTGCATAGGAGGAAGACGATGGGGTAGAAGAGGAAGAGTATCCGCTTGTGGACCTCTGTCTTTTGGTTGTGCTGCGACATGACGTTCGGTAAGGTCGTTGGACTGAGTACGCCGTCGCATGAGGCCTCTTCCGCCGCAGCAGCTGCCTTTCTGGCGCTTCGGAATGCCTTGTCTGCCCGGTGAACGTGGACGAAGACCAAGATATACGATACGGTTCCCGTGATGATCAGTGTCAGCATCCAGGCATAGTGTAAGTACATCCGCATAGCCTCATATTCGGAGTTGATCCAACACTATTTATGTTGAAGTAAGCATGTGATATACGACAACTTCAAGCCGAGGAGAAGGACTTACCCAGGTGATGTCGCGGACATAGAAACCACCTTTACCTGCGCCGTTATTGGTGATGATCACCCCAAGTACAGACATGAACAAAACAAAGAACCACAAAAGAAAGATAGTGCTGTAGAAGGCCTTGCACGAGATCTTGAGACCTCTAACAAGGGTGAGATAGGTGTGTACTGCGATGAATGCCACAAAAGCAGTAGATGCCAGGTCGCCTGTGGAGATGAACCACCCCTGAGCCCAGCATGCAGCTGAGTCGTCGGTGATCTTATCCTCCACCAACCAGACAACGTCAAGAAAGAAGGCGCAGGCCTGGATGGCATCGGCAAAGAGGACGTTGAGGAGAAGAATGAGGAACTGATTCGGGACTCTCGATCGCTTCGACTGTCCATTTGCGTTATACTGGGCTTCGAGTTCGTGGGGCAGACCAGCGATGACGGGAACCTGTGTGGTGGTGGCTGGTATTTGTTGTTCCTTCTTCGGGCTCGTCCTCCGATACCAACATGCGAGTCTGCCAATCAGGTATACCAGGAGTGTGAAGGAAGTGACGAGAGAGAAAAACGAGAGCGTAACGACGGCTTTGAGTCCATGTCGAAGAACCGTCGGGAGCGGTGAGAGAGTGTGTGTTCGTGTGTACATGATTGCGGATAGTTACCGGTTATTGGGATGATTATGAGATTATCATGACCGTCGTGCCTGCCGACCTTGCCCGTTGAACCCAAGTTGTTCCTCCGCCAAAAGACAAGTCAAAAAGAAAGACTACGGCGGCCTACAAGCCATCGTGAGATATTCACTCTTGGCTTGGCTCCGTTACTTGTACAAGCGAGCGGTAAACGCTGGTAGACTAATGTCCGGTATTACATGTCCGACGTCCGCGGGGTAACGCCTCACTGAGGAGCCCTCAAGCCCAACGGGCGCAACGTTCTTAGCTTGCGGGATGGCGTCCGGGAAGGCCAGGAGAACCATGCCTCTCTTCATCTGTCAAGATGCCATATGGCAGCTCATCCCATGCCTGGTTTGGCTAAGCCTCTGCCGATGAGTGAGAACTCTAAAATCAGTCGACGAGTGAGGTTGCTCATGCCAAGATGAAGTTGACGAACAGACCCTGCCAAGGTATAGAATAGTGTAGAGAACGCCGCACTTGGGGTCCAAAACAGCCAGGGATCCGGATCGTTCGGCGTTCGGCCGAGCAGCCTAATTCGTCCATTTATCCCCCTCTCCCGAACTCATACCACCTATCCACAGTGACCACAGACATCGGCATTGTGCCTGCAAGCCAGCGCACCCATGCCTTCGTGCCGTGGGGGGCAAGGGGTAGAAGAGCCTAAGAGATCGCCTCATGAGAACCTTCTCGGCGATGACAGGCCAAAAGAGAAGCTCATAAGGGATGGCTCGGCGTCGCTTTCGGAATTTCGCTTGATCTCAACAGCCTGTCGATTTCGAAGCTATCTCTCACAAACCCTTGAGATCTTCATCGCAGCGTACGGAACGTGGGCTGCGGATGGCACTAAGACGAAAAACCAACGCCGCCCCATGTCCACGGAGAAATTGGTCGTACGCCTATGCGAAATATGCAGCCCACGCAAGAGAACAGACAGCGCACAGGAAGCAGCAGGCACGTGAGGAATAAAGTTTAATGAGTGGAGTTGACCGTTGCTCCAAACTCTAATAGAAGCACCAAGTGGTCCCCGATGAGAAAAAGGAGACAACGCGGATTTTTCAGGAATTTCAGGCTGGCTCGGTAGCATTCAACCGAGATTTGAAACAAGATAAGAAAAACATGCTCAGAAGAATTTCAAGCTCTTAGTAACTATTACATCTGGGTAGGAGGGCGGTGAGCAGCCTCGACGGACTTTTTTTTGAAGCCGATTTTCCTTTGACTTGATTGATATGGGCCATGGTGGCACCCTTCTATGGGCGGCGCATACAAGTGCCATAAGCGCATCCGGCGGCTCTTCTAGACAGAAGACAGAGAAGACTTCTTCGCAAGGATTGTCACGTCATTTCCAAGAGCATTGATAGATGGTTGTGTAACCTTTGCTGGAGTCATGTCCTCGTACCCACGATGGGGAAATTCCACAATGTGCCATGATGTCGGTAACGTAGTTCCCTTCAAGCGCTCGGCTATCCGCGTTGTTGCGAGTCAGAAGGTATCATTGGAGGCGGCTGGGCGAGATCTTGTTTCTCGCGCGACGAAGTGCGAGCTCGTGGCGAACAGGGTTAATCGCTATGGCGATGATGAGTTCAACGTAATCAGATCTATTGCTTTCTCTCGTAAAGACGGCTCACCCGCTACTTTACTCAGAGTACACTGTAATTACTTTCTTTATTCAGAAATCCAAGAAACCCTTCTTAATTGCTGTGATCGCACAGACAATTAGCCCGTGCTAGCCCAGCTGCGCAACCTGCCTCTTGCCAGATTGGAGAATGTAGGAGATGCCCGTACTTTCATGTCAATTCGTATGCCTTGGCCGTTCAGTCATCCAATTATTTTCGCTTGTAATGATATAACCCGCGGGCGCCCGCGCGCTTACGGCACCACTGTCTCGCTTATTGTTCTATCGACATGGAAGCCTCGGGGGGTTTCACGATATTGGCGTCCGTCGGCGACACCGCTCAGCCCCGTGTTGGAATCGACTATGAAGCCGATTTAGGATTCGGATCAATATTTCTCACTTTCATCGGACTCGGCCGGTTGAGTTATGTAAGGTACGAATACGGCATGGAAACCACAACGTCGGCGATCTCAATCCAGCAAGGCCCTGCCAGATGCCATACGGGTCGCTGTGCAATTCGTAGAGCCCTGGGCAAATGGCTGGAAATCCGGGATAAATCTTGCATGGAACCCGTAATCGAGCAGAAATTTACCCAACACTTCCTCTAACACGGGGATTTGCGGAGTACGTCAATACGCACACGCAAGACTTCCAAACCTGTTCCATTTATACTATAATAAAGTTCTCACTTGATGGCTTGCTGGCCGCACAGAAGAACAGGGGTGCACTGACCAGCCACCTCCTTAGTGGAGAAGTACTGTCTCTCTTGTCTCGTAAATCTGAAAGCAGTTGTAAGCTTTGAAAGGTAAATCGAAACATAAACACATATACGAGCGGGAGCCCGCGATTGCGCGGCAATCCAAAGGCTGACAGTTTGAGACCCGGCCTTATCAATAGCCGATGAGGTGAAAGACGTTGTCGGAAAGCTAGATAGATCGCTGCGGTCTTCGGACGCGCTTATTCTCGTTTTCGCTGTCACAATTGTCCGGGAGAAAAATGATATGACGAAGCTATATTCGTCGCCAAGACTGTCAGTCAGCTTTGCGGACCCGGGACTGACAGCAATCAAGTCCTGGTGGGAGCCGCAGCAACCAAGCTGTCGGGCAAAATGCACCTGCAAAACATCTTGAACGCCGCGTGACCCTCCAAGTTGAGGGTTCTAGCCAGAATTTCTCCACCAAATCCACAAACGGGGAGTATTGGGATGGCGATCTCGGACGTTGTGGATAAAAATGCTCCCAAAGCTATTGTCCAAGGCCCACGTACGACGGGCGTACCGCGTGAGGGATTGGAGATGAACTCCAACCCCTGATATATCAATAGCCTGCTCACAACTAGCGGGTGATCGTCGCCTTCGATTCAAGATGGATCCATGGCGGTTTCAAGGCCGTGAAAATTTTATGCCAAGAGCTGAATGAACACCCAACGCCACTCCAGTCCACAGTATCAGATTGCATATCACATCACAAAGTATACGCATGCTCAGTACTTGTAAATGCATTGGTGCCCGACTACAACGACGAAGGACTAATGGACAATGAAACCGATATCATCATGCGATCTTCGTCAATTGCGATAGTTGTCACAGACCTGTATCTGATTGATAAGCTGAACTGTAACTAGCACGACATCTTTCCGCAGCTGCCGTTACGTGGGCAGACTCTCTATTTCTGGCGCGCTCGAGGCTGACAAGCGAAGAGGGCAGAATTCAACTTGTGGCGTGTTGGAGAAGAACAGGGGCAATTCCGAAACCTACTGCTTCGCTTGGTTTCCTATCCCGATGCAGCTCATCGGGAACAACGACTGCCAAAAGCGACCAGTATCAATCTGAGTTGTGATGATTCCAACTATAATCATACCTATCTCAAGGGCATATGCGCCGTATCCGTGTTTCTTTCAAACTGCTCTCTCATGGCTAGAGCCTCACTCGTAGGTGGACTACAAGGTCAATTCTCCGTTGCGTCCGAAAAATTGGAAAGAAAAATAAATAAATAGTGGTTATGTGTTTTATCATTTGAATCGTGTGAGCCCAGGAGTGACATATTAGGAAGGGATTCATTTACGGCAAGACATTACGGTAGGCCAGACAGTGGAGTGATGACATATAGGTATCAGATGAGGATAAAGTCCTAGTACAGCCCCCCTCCTCTATCCCTGGGCTTGTATTCTCTCGGGGTCCCTATCGATGAGCACTCCAGAGTCTTGGAACACACATCTATGATATAATTCGAACCCGGAACATCGGGGGAATCCATAAGACAAATATTTCATAGAACTATTGTTGCTAATCTACACGCACTGGCGCAGTAAAGATATATATCTCATCAACCGCTACATCGCGTCAAAAAAACAAATTGTATGACCATCCAACCCTATTTCACTCATATCTGTTTATGAATAATTTCGAAATAAAGTAGAAGTTAATCGGAAGACCGGTAACGCCCTCTAGCAGTTGATGGGATACCCTTTCTGAATATTGCGCGGCCACAACGTGTTGACATAATGACACAAACTCGGAATGCAATGACCTCCTAGGTAGGAAGTTTTCGGATGTATCGATTCGATTTCAGCGCGCATGTGAGTGACATACTTGTTCATTCCATTGGAGCCTCCTCTGAACCGGTGGGCGTCTTTCCCCACGATTCGTGTCCGGTGATCGCCTTCGGATACGACGCGCAAATCACAGGCAAACACTCGCGAATATCCTCGGGAGAAGTGATTGATATTTTGGGGCTTGCTTGCTTTTTATGAAGCTTCAGCCCTGCGCTGAAGATCCCGCTTCATCGAACGAGTCTCGTGAGCAGATTGCTCGACTTCGTGACGCGAGCTAGGCGTTGGAGCCCTGCGAGACAGCGAAATGAAATGTCAAAATGAAGTAAGCGAGCAGTGATCGGCGGGACGGAGAATAAGTCGCTATGGTATCCGCAAATTTCAGGTCAATGCTGAGGTGCTCGTGTGCGAAGTTGATCAGTGTCAAGAAAAGAGCCTGAACCACAAGGCCAAGTGCCAAATCAAGGCCTTGAGCCCCTGTCATTTGATGGGATTGCGACATGCCATCTGTACTTTTGAGCGAACGCGGGATTTTCACTAGCGATCGAGACAGATTTACAAACTGAGTATCCGTGAAAAGAATTTCTACAGGCTGGCTTCGATTTGCGGTTTGCGTTCGAAGCTGATACTCACCAAAAGTTGTCCTTTTTCAGACTGCTGTTCAACATGACTTTGCAGCCCGTTGGTTCTGTATCTTATTGTCTACTAGAACTCCGCATCGATTTTCTGATATGCTATGACTGACTTATACGATAGAGCTTGTGTATTGATAGCTCGGCACGTCATATTGTCTTGATGGACGGGGTATGAGAC